AGAAACCCTTGCTCACTTATGATACTCAAGGGGCAAGGCAATCATTGCTAGTGACAGTTTTTTCTCTCCGTCAAAAACAATGATTGCCTTGCTCACTTGGTGCAAAGGTAGAAGAGCATATTTTGCTCCTAAAGATTCAAGACAATCTTTGCTCAGTTATGCAAATGTAAAACTAAGCAAAGGTTAAGGTGATCCTTGCTAGTGTAGAAGAGCCATTTGGTTTTTCATCAAAATCAAGGAAATGCTTACTCTCTTAAGGTTACTCAAGGGCAAGGCAATTCTTGCTAGTGGTGGAAAGCAAATTTTGCTCTTCATCAAAACCAAGGATTGCCTTGCTCATTTGATGCAAAAATAATTCTACGCAAAGAACAATGCTAGAGTCATTTGGCTCCCTCAAAATCAAGGAACCCTTGAGGCTACTCAAGCGGCAAGGCAATTCTTGCTAGTGATGGACAGCAAATTTTGCAATCCATCAAAACCAAGACGTGTCTTGCTTATTTGGTGCAAAAAGTAAGCCTATGCAAGGGGCAAGATGGGCCTTGCTATAATTACTTGGCTCACCCTTAAAATTAAGGAGATCCTTTCTTGCTTAAGGCTACTCAAAGGGCAAGGCAATTCTTGGTAGTGGTGGACAGCAAATTTTGCTCTTCATCAAAACTAAGGGTTGTCTTACTCATGTGCTAATGTGTTTGGAGGGTGGGTGGGTAACTCTGCCTATGCTATGCATAGCCGGTCCCAAGCCCAGATAAAAAGAGGAGGGACCACAGAATGCATGACCATTTATGTATTTTATTATTCACTGTGTATTTTAATTTTAAAACATAAAAGAGATTAATTAGAAGAAGGCAATCTCGGTAGGAAATGTAACACACTTTTCCTTGTTTATAGCTGGATTGCATCACTGCTAACAACTGGGTTGCCAACCCCTTTTTGGCCTAGTGAGCTACTCTTACAAAATTTCGATGTATGTTCAATGAACGAAATGCTAGAGCTCCTACTTTGTAGAATAGAACTTCTTAATTTCATATGCTTGTAGCTTAATCTATTTTTATCCCTCTTCACTAGCAAGCATGGAGTTAAAGCTCATCTTGGTTGATGTATTCAAAATTTTCATGTTTCTTAGGAGTAGTTTTGTCCTATAGTTATATTCAAAAAAAATTTTTGGTGCCAATTCGAGAACCATTACTAGCCTGAATATTAGTTAGCTCAAGAGAAATTGTTCTCCTTTTTCTTCTCAAAGGAGCCTATGAGGCATTGCCCAAAAATTTCATTGTACCGGATTTTAAACTTCAAGAAATGTAAATAAATGGACCAATAATTGTTCATTGCCATGTCATACTATGTGATGCAATTAAATGTGCAGTGTTGCATCTCCAATGGTAGCACCACATTAAATCCACCATTGTTGATTTGCCTTCTAGAGCAGATAAAGCATTCTCATATGGGATAACCTTCTGCTTTGAACAATACTAGATGACCCATTGCGCCAATTGGCGTAGAGACCAATTTCGGACCGAAAGTTAAGCGAAATATTTGAAGGATTTTTTCTCCAACTGTTTGCAAATGATTATGCTCATACTGCGTTTTATTTGCCTTGACGATGATCATTGCCCATTGTTTTTCTTAGCGAATTACTTTTGATAACATGAGACTTTGTTTGTGATGATTTTTTCCCTAACTGTCTACAACATTGCAAAGACCAACTACAACCAGAAGTTAAGCAAGCTATGAGTGGCACGTGGAGCAGTCACGAAGCAACCGGGTTGGTAGCGAAGGAGCACACACTCCATGTCAAACGACGTCAGAGCCACCCACTCCAACCCGAAATCACATGAGGAGAAGAAAACTAAAGGAGCCGACCAAACGGTTCCCTAACCGAGGAAGAGTGAGATCAGCAAGCACAAGCAGGAGGTCGTGCCAAAGCCACCGAGCAAAACGTTCATCTAATCCAAGGTAAAAACACAATCATATATACAACACTTGGAAAAGGTTAATGTGATCCTTGCTAGTGTAGGCGAACCTTGGTTTTTCATCAAAATCAAGGAAGTCCTTACTCTCTTAAGGTTACTCAAGGGCAAGGCAATTATTGCTAGTGGTGGAAAGCAAATTTTGCTCTTCATAAAAACCAATGATTGCCTTTCTCATTTGATGCATAAATAATTCTATATGAAAAGTACAATGCTAGAGTCATTTGGCTCCCTCAAAATCAAGGAACCCTTGAGGCTACTCAAGGGGCAAGGCAATTCTTGCTAGTGATGGACATCAAATTTTGCTATCCATCAAACCAAGATTTCCCTTGCTTATTTGGTGCAAAAAGTAAGATGCAAGGGGTAAGATGAGCCTTGCTATAGTTACTTGGCTCGCCCTTAAAATTAAGGGGGTCCTTTCTTGCTTAAGGCTACTCAAAGGGCAAGGAAATTCTTGGTAGTGGCGGACAACAAATTTTGCTCCCTATCAAAACCAAGAATTGTCTTACTCATGTGTTAATGTGTTTGGAGTGTGGGTAGGCAACTCTGCATATGTTATGCATAGTTGGTCCCAAGCCCGGATAAAAAGAGGAGGGACCAAAAATGCATGAACATTTATGTATTTTAATATTCATTGTGTAATTT